ACTCGGAAAAATGGCAAACTCTCTGGAAAAAATAAAGAAGTGAGTTAAGTGTTGTTGCTACATGTAGTGATTTGTGAGTCCATTTCATATATAACTTTGTTATTGCCAATCTTTGATGACTGCATGACTTTTAAGCTCAGTTGCAAATTGACCTAGGATACCCAAATTTGTTGGGCTCATCAAAACTTGCTAGATACAGGCCTCATTTTCAAATAGCAGTAAAATTGACAGAGAACCAGCAGTGAGATGTGCGGTATTAATTTTTTTTGTAGCTTATTAACTTGGCAACATCCTTTGGCAACAAGGAAGCTCTTTACAGTACTCAATATCGCATTTGTGGCGTCTTTAGGGCTCAGGGGACCTACTTTGTTCACGTTGTTAGGTAACACGCTGTTTCGTAAATTTTGCTAACACCTTAGTTCATAGCTGCATACTTTCTCAGGTCTTTTTTCAGAATGATTTTCTTTCGATTTGCTGTAAAATCAAAACCAAAGTAATCACATAGACCAATCATTGGAAAGGAACTTCCACAATTTAGCTAAGGATAGCTCAAACAAAAGGACTTATTTTTATAGGCATTGTGAGAAGAAATTGTCTTGCATGACTTGTCCAGGGCTTGAACACAGCCAGTTTTGTCAACAGTAAGAAATGCAGGCATTTAGTACTTTTCACTTGTGATAAATTCATGAATTTGTTTCTATTGACTAAATTGATATTTTTTTAGGGTTGTCTTTTGGAGTAAAGCTGTTTATAGTGAATCCCATATATCATCGATTTCCAAAGGTAACATTTCGCTCTTTTCGTCGTTTCATCGTCGACAATATACATACCTTAAACCTTTATACAGTTACATCAATAGATATATTCACCTTAAACCTTTATACAGTTACATCAATACATATATTCTCCTTAAACCTTTATACAGTTACATCAATACACATATTCACCTTAAACCTTTATACAGTTACATCAATACACATATTCACCTTAAACCTTTATACAGTTACATCAATAAATATATTCACCTTGAACCTTTATACAGTTACATCGATACACATATTCACCTTAAACCTCTATACAGGTACATCAATACATATATTCACCTTAAACCTTTATACAGTTACATCAATACATATATTCACCTTAAACCTTTATACAGTTACATCAATACACATATTCACCTTAAACCTTTATACAGTTACATCAATACATATATTCACCTTAAACCTTTATACAGTTACATCAATACATATATTCACCTTAAACCTTTATACAGTTACATCAATACATATATTCACCTTAAACCTTTATACAGTTACATCAATACATATATTCACCTTCAACCTTTATACAGTTACATCAATACATATATTCTCCTTAAACCTTTATACAGTTACATCAATACATATATTCACCTTAAACCTTTATACAGTTACATCAATACATATATTCTCCTTAAACCTTTATACAGTTACATCAATACATATATTCACCTTAAACCTTTATACAGTTACATCAATACATATATTCACCTTCAACCTTTATACAGTTACATCAATACATATATTCACCTTAAACTTTTATACAGTTACATCAATACATATATTCACCTTAAACCTTTATACAGTTACATCAATACACATATTCACCTTAAACCTTTATACAGTTACATCAATACATATATTCTCCATACTGTTCTCCATACATATCCTGAGGTGCTAAATATTAGGAGAATTTGTGTAACAATCAAGAGCTTCTTTATTTGGTGATCATTTCCTTTATCCTCGTAACCTTAATTTGTGATTCAGGGGTGATGTAGTGAGGAGAAATTTGATGCTAGTCACTCTAGGGGGTCCTTAAACTGAAGCAATAAGCTGATGGTAAGACTCACTTGCAAGCCATTTCTGTAACTCTGTGACTTGATATTTTGGAAACAGGTTAAGAGGCGATATGATGGTACTGCCAAGTTATGGGAAGAACTACCAACTGAGGCAGACCTGGTTGCGTCGCGATATTCAGTGGATGGAAATCAGGAGGTACTTATGATCAGTTTGATGCATGTTACTCGTAGTCAACCCATTTTTTTTTTGGTAATCTGAAAGGCTGGTGTAAGTTCAGTTCGTCTTCCGGTATATATATGTCCCACAAGAGATCCTAGATGGGATTGGCGGGATCCCGCCTAAAGCCCGGCTGCCTTTTTACCTGGGTAAACTAGAAAAATGCGTTATCGGCCAAGCTTGAGCTCGAAATTCCTGGATTTTGGCTGACTTATTTTTAGCATTTTTATGGACCAAAACCTTCTGGTATTTTGTGTCCAAGACTGAACATAGCGGGAAATCTCAGCCTGTTTTGCCCGCCTGGAAGCCAAGGAGAATGGTGCTTTCCTGTTGTTAAGTCGCAAAAGCATCCACCTAACATGTCACCTTAAGTAATAGATCTAACTTGTTCAGATCTTAGGGCGCTCTACGTCGGCGACTTCTTCGTCATCGCCAAGTAGCAGTTCATCGCACCACCAAATAGGTCCTCATTCAAATCCAGTGGCCGAGAAATTTAGATTGCCATCAAGTGAAATCGTTTTGCCAGGTGAGGATCTTGTTTTTTGCTTTGTGCTATCAATTAGCTTAAAACTGGTCTTAAAATTTTTTATAAACAACGATTGTAAAGCATTCCTTAAAAAACAAAACGCGCTACCATGTGGTGCGATCAAGAATACAAAGATTGGTCCTCGCCCCTTTTCAAAGTTGTTCCTGCAATTTTAGCCCAATGCTCTGTAACGGTAGCATCTTGAATTAGGTTGTAGGGGTAATCGAACTCATGATCAGGAGTTCATACAGGCACCATTTTAGCCCAGAGTGCCAGACCCCCGGCAAACCTTTTCCCAGCGTATGTCAAACCTCCCTGCAGGTGGAGAAACGTGCCTCCTTCAACGCCAATAACGAGGACGTGGTTGTAAACTACGTACTGCCATGCACAAATGAGATGAAGGGCTCAAGCCTTAGACTGAACTTCGACATAGGAGTTACCAGTTACGAAAATTGCGGTTCAGAGAATTTCTTTTGACAATTGCTCATGAATTTTTTTCTTTCTGCGTTTTTCTAGGTTGGGAAGAAGGTAAAAGATGTGCTTTGCTTGATAAAGACAAACCGTTCTCAAGTGTTAAACATGGAAAATTGTTTCTGACTCAAAGGTAAAGAAATAAAAAAAAATAGCTTGTGGATTGCCATGTCTTGTTGTATCATTATTACACAAGATTTACTGATGTGTTTCTAAACCCTTTCTCGTTACAGTTATTTATGCTTTGAGAAGACCAGATCATCAAGTGGAAAGCATATCGTTATTAAGCTGGATACTATCATCAGTTTAAGTAAAGTATGTGGGAGGTGGAGCAAGAAACAAATTTAATTATTAATCAACTGATCAGCAAATCATCCAATTAACTAATCAACCGGTGACTGTGAAATATAGGAAAGTGTTCGCTTGTAGATCACGTGGCTCCATGGTATGCTCACCTTTAAGGTGGGCGACCTTGTGTGCATCTAAATTCGACCCCTCCCCCCCCCCTTTTTCCGGCAAGGAAAATGCTAATGAAACGACCAGGTGCGCCTCCAAAGGCCTGCGAGATGCTGACTTCCTCCCTCCCCTCCCATGAAAAAACCCCTCCGACGCTCCCTGCGAATTCTGCGCAATACTCTTAGAAGACCAGTATCTGTTTAACCGCAGTTAATGTCGCTGACCGGCCGATGTAATGCCTAAGTAACTACAATAAATTTCTGATATTTCACTGTATGGCCTTTTACATGCACATCTGTGTATGGTTTACCCTCAATCATGATATCATGTCACCTTCAATATGTTGTTGTTGTTGTTATTCAGGCAAAGCCAATAGCAATTATGCCTGGAACAGGAATGGCCTTAGAAGTTAACGTTAGAGGTCTTGATAAAGTAAGTGGATATAAAGAAGAACTTTGCCTTATTAAATTTTATCAGTTTCAAGCTTTAAAGATTTTATTCAAAACTGGCCTAAATGCTTTTGAGTAGAATTTCCCTCCTGGCTACGTCAACGTGTACCGTCTATTTACCTCAGCTGAGTCGATTAAGTTGGGACTGCTTTTTCACGTTCTTCATTCTTTTATCAAAGCGGCAAGGTTTTATAACATTAGAGAGCGTAAGGAAAACTGCACCGTACATTTGCTAATTAATCTCAAGAAGACTGAAAACATCTTTTGTTATTTAATACCAGTATTTTTTTACTGATGGAAGCTGTTTTGATTTCTAGCCTTATATTTTCGGTGGAATCATTGGAAGAGATGATGTATTTGAAAGTATAAGAGCCACAGGAAGGACAGGAAATTTTCCCTGGGTGCAAATGGCGCCATCAACACTTTGACATGGAATCGAGAATAGATATGGCCCAGACTCTTGCATACGGCAGGTTCTTCTTCAGTTTCAAAAATTGGTGGGAAAAAATCTATCAATGGAGAAATACGAATATATATACAGTGTTAAAAGGAAACACTAAGTTATACATGGTGACAATGATAAGATGAGCTTACAACAACTGATGCAAATATTGGAAATTATGTAGGTATCATTTAGCCATCAGGAGCACATGGCTTTGTATAAACTAAGGGAAAACTTTTTATCCACAAGTCTTTCTGAAAAGTAACATTGCTAACTATTTTGGTATCAGCGATCGAATCTTCTCTGTCATGAAGAAGTGTTATTGAATTATTGCATACCAAAATATGTACAATGGAAAATAAATTATGGTCAAATTTTTCTTGGTTCTAGCAAAAGAATGCTCAGTTTTGTAATGTATCGATATCTCTGTTTTTAACATAATTTTATAACGATTAAGATATTTTCTGAGTTCTTAGAGGGTTTACTAGACTATTACTGCGTACAATGATTAAATAGATGGTCAGTTTATATAACCGTTTGTGAACATTTTTGGAAGAACTGAGTATATTTCCAAAAGCTATTCAATAAAGCTAAGAATTTTGGGCTACGACTGCTTATATTTTATTACTTATTTGAGTAAATTTCAGCTTTTTCTTCCAGAAACCCCTAATATTTGGGCTGGTGGCGGTGTTCTCCATAACAAGTCCTTTACTGGCTCAGGATGTCATCTCGGAATATTCATATTTGTAAATTTTCTTTTTTTTTTCTAATGCACCCTGGCTGACACGCCATATTCATCCCGCAAGGTATCCCGCAAAAGGGTTCTTCAGTTAACAACCGACAGCTAAGGGTCACTTGTCAGTGGCACGAGCGCTACCATACCATCAGTTCCCTTTTTTCTCCTTTTCCTTTTTTATTTATCTGTGCTTTCTGTTCACTGTCCTTGGTGCAGCTCTAAAGAAAAGAAGACGCTTGATGTCATACGTACCCACCTGAGACTTGTTCGTTAATTCGAGTCCGATGCGTCCCTACACCCGATAGTCATATTAAGATGATGTATATTCGTTCAAATGGAACTCAATAATTGTGAAAGAACGTACTATAAGTACACTCCATAGTCCAGGTTAGAGTCCGTGGTTCTAGTCATGATGTTCAAAGTTATAGCACATGCTTTCCACGGCTTCCAAAAATGACCAATCATCTTGCGCCTCACAATCATCTCTTTTATCTCCCCTCCCTGAGGACAGTACGCCATTGAATTGATCACCCGCCAATACGCCAAACCAGTGAAAATACTACATCAATTCATCGCAGGATTTCCTTCCAAGGATTTGAATATGTGGACTGTGAAAGCACTTAGAACAAATAGCCATGGAATATTGTCACGTAATTTGTTACCTTTGCAACGAAAATCTCTGTCAACTGGCAATGGAGAGCGAGTTATGGCGATTAGAAGAGAAGACATAAATGTATGGGAGAGACGAGCACCCATAGCACCTTCGCATGTCGCAGAACTTGCACATAAAGGAATCAAGGTTCTTGTACAGCCTTCGACAAGACGAGCATACACGATGGATGAATACGAGCGAGCAGGAGCAGTCATAACAGAAGATTTAAGTCCTGCCTCGCTGATTATCGGCGTGAAAGCTGTCCCCATTGATTTGTTAATTCCAGATAAGACTTATGCTTTTTTCTCTCATACGATCAAGGCCCAAGAGGCGAATATGCCACTACTCGATGCAATGCTTGAAAAGGTAAGAATATTTTCGTTTTCTAAGCTGTAATTGAAGTCTTATAGGGATTTATCACAGTTTTGATGAAATCTAATTGAGTTTGATTCGAACATGGCTCGACCAAGCGTAACTTTCGATCGCCTACGTTTGTAACCCACGGATCAAATTCATCGTGATTTTAATGGAGCTGTACACACACAGTCATCGCAAAATCAAATTGAGAAATTTGCTTTTCAAATTTGTAAATTATTTGTCTTCTTAGATCGATCAATTGTTTTACCACCTTTGAAAGAGAGTCGTTTGTTGCTCTTCGCTTTCGCGCCACGTGTATAATGATTTTCACACCTCGCAGTTTTGTTGCATTTTTGTATGAAAATTTTCTCGATTGTCTGGATTAATCCCTTCTTTCTGGCAGAACATCCGAATAGTTGATTACGAAAAAATGGTGGATAGCAAAGGACAAAGAGTGTGTGCTTTTGGCAAGTTCGCCGGTGTCGGAGGTTTGTGTTTTGGTTGCCGACATAGTAAACGAACGTGGGGGCGTGTTCGGGGGCTTGGTCATATTTCAAGGTGGCTACAGTAAGGCAGTGTGGACAATCAATATCAAGTTGTTAAGTTTGGGGGATTCATTATCTTGGATTATTCTAGATGTGTTACAATATTATAGATGAAGCTGATTTTTTGTCAAAAATGTGTTGACACTGAAGTCAATTCTATTGTTCACTTACTAGTTTCTTGTGGGTTAAACTCTTAGAAGGTAAATCTCCAATGTCTTATAGGGCTGAAGCAAGGAAGAGTACTTTTGATTCTGTGTGATGTAAACTCGACTGGCAAAAAGGAATTTGCTCATCAGATACATGGGTTTACTGAGATGCTTTAGCAGAAAGCACAGTATGAGCATTTAATAAAACAGCTCTTTATTTTTTCTACCCATAGGTATGATAAATATTCTTCATGGTCTTGGGTTGAGGCTTCTTGCCCTTGGACATCACACACCTTTCATGGTAAGTAACATATTGTTAGATTTACAATATTAAGCTTAAATTGTTTTACATAATTATGATGCTCTCTCTCTCTGTATGACATTGTAAATTCTACCACAATTTTTACTTGCATTGTGCTCAAATGTGTGTCATGCAAGTGATGTGAAAGGCAGTCAAGTGGGACTTCAACCAACCTTCTGTTACAGTAACCAAGTTGTAGCTTTTAAAATGTAAAGAAAAGGAAAAAATTTTTAAAAAACTTTAAGACAAAAAGAAGAGTCATAGCTTCACTCTTTAATCTCGCGTCTAAGTGAAGGAAATGACATGGACCTAAGAGACTATCATTGGTGAGATAAGCTCTTCAAATGATTATAATATAGTTGTTGTGACTGATGTTGAGAAAACTCTAGAGCAAGTCTTCAGCAAAGAGGCAGCATCACACCATAACATGCATATATATGGTCTCAAGACATTAGCTAATTAACACCCTACAACTTCAAATTGATGATATCAAAATTTCATCTAATTTTTTTCTCAGTATTTAGGGGCAACTCATAACTACAAGAACAGCAGGGCAGCAAAACTTGCCATTTATGAACTTGGTGAGGACATAAAAGCTGGTAAATTACCAGCTCACTTTGGACCTTTGTCATTTGTGTTTACTGGCTCAGGAAATGTGTCTCAGGTATTCTGAACAAACTATATACTATTTTAAATCAAAAACGTATTTCAAATATATTTTTTAAATCTGATTTGAGTTTGATTTTGATTAATGAACAAATAAACAAATGAAAGGACTCAACTCATCAAGAGGCACATCTCTCCAATAAAAAAATCCACCACTTGTAAAGTTTCTTCATCTGGGTTTTATAGAATTGAAAAATCTCAGTTTTACAATATCTTTGATTTGATATTCTGAGGTACTTTACCTTTTACTTGAATTTGCCGTTTAGTAACAATGCAAACATTTAAGAATTTGTTCCTTCCATGTAACTAGATCACCCTTTCCCCCACCCTCAAAGTTTTAGTTTTGCCTGGGCTATACTGTGGGACTCATTCACCCTTCCTACAATTTATTCTTTATTTGTTGATTATCCACAGGGTGCTCAAGAAATGTTTCAGGAACTTCCACATATTTATGTTGAGCCACATGAGCTGAGAAAAGCTATACAAAGCACAGGTGAGGTTACAGCATTTTGGTGCAATAGAAGTTGAGTAGGGAACCTTGGGGTTATTATAAGAGCTTATGTTTACCCCTCTAAGAATAAGCCACACCATCCCGTTTGTGTGGTTGAAAGAAGCAAAAAAGACCACCAATGTAATGCATACACTCTGACGTGGAATAGAAAATTAATTTGAACAGTCTCCTGGCTGCTACTAAACATATTCCGATGTAATGGTGTTTTAATGTGACCATTAATTGTATTTTACGCTAATTTCATGTAGCTGTTTGTAACAACTTAAATATTTTAGACCATTGACCCATTTTAACACCTTAACATCAGTTTGCATGTTCTCTAAACTTTTCACTATATGTTTTCCATGGTACTTACAAAGAGAATTTTCCTAATCATTTTTTCAATATCACTCTTGAGGGTGAAAGGGTTTAGATATTTCAGTCTTTTAATATCAAATAATTCGCACCTTGTTAATGTATATGCATGTAATAATCATTGTGATCCACTGCCAGACCACAGGAAGTTGATTGGAACAGTTGTAAGCCGTGAAGATTACCTTGTACCCAAGGCTGGTGGAGTGTTTGATGCAGAGGAATATGATGCTCATCCAGATAGATACAGATCAACATTTGCAGAAAAGGTTATTTGTTTAATATCTAGTTGTGACTTAAAATTGTTAGGAACAGAGAAGAACACAACAAACTCCCATATTAGGTCAACACTTTGCAGATGATTTTTCCAAAAACAAATGATCAACTTAAGTTGTATTTTTAACTACAGTTTCAAAAGTACAGTTAACTTGACTGTATATGCTGAGAAATATGAGCCCAGTGCTATTGAAAAATAAACAAAAATAATACATAGAGGTATTAATTCAAATACTAGGCTTTGGTCTTTACAGAAAGTAACAGTCTTGGGTCAGGGTATTGAACCTACCTTTCAAAATTAGTGAATGATCAGCCGAGGTTGCATTTCTAAGAATGTCCCTCACCTGAGTGAAAAAATTATGGCACCTTGCAGCTGGTCAGCATCAGTACCATTCTTAACTTTTTTACAGGTTCATTCATTCTTTTCATATGTAGGTTGCTCCTTACATGTCTGTCCTGGTGAATGGAACCTACTGGGCCCCCAGTGTGCCACGCCTTCTGACCTACGATGATGCTAGAAATATTCTTAAGACAATGCAGAGGTCAAGTGCATATGATGGCTGTCCAAGTCTGCCACATAGATTGTTGGCAATCTGTGATATCTCGGCTGACAATGAAGTGAGCTTGTAAATTAATTTGGCAGGTTCTTAATATTATAATTTTGTTTTACTGTTTTCATGTCTTTTAATACACTGTTACCATTTTTCCAGGGTTCCCTGGAATTCATGACAGAATGTACAACAATTGAGTATCCATTCCACTTGTACAACATCAAGACAGGAAACTCACAGATTGGGTAAATGATTCAAATAAATATAAAGTATATAAATCATAAATGAACAATGACTTAAAATATGATTAATTAATAAACAGATAAAATACTAACAGTTATTAACAAACACTGCATTTAATAGTATGTTTGAGGTAAAAGCTAATTTGTTCTTTGGCCAAAAAGTCTTGGGGCCAAATTGTCTTTTACCAGATTAACTAATTATGTGCAATTTCCTCTTATGCTGTATCTCTGTATAGAATGGCTGGAGATGGAGTTCTTATTTGCT